ACACAAAAAAGGATTCGCCACTTTGCTTAGCGTTATTGTAATAACATAGATATTAAGTTTTTTTTCATCTTTTAAAGTAGGTAATATGTTTGGTGTGAAAGACCCGATCCCTCGTGTGTGGTTCAAAAGTTTTTATGTGTGGGCTGTAATGCTTGCTTTGTCGGTGAAACCTCTCGGCATTTATCCACACGTGTGCGTGCGCACTCGATCAGTGATAGGTCCTCTCACAGTTTCGGACATTTACCAAATTCTCAACAATGATTAGTGTTTTAGCACCTTAGATCGTATTTATTTCCGCACTCCACGAGGCTCCGTTTCCGCACGCATTTTCGAATTCTCCACCAAATCCGATTCTGGAATCAGGGAAGTTGCAATCTCCTTCTTGATCAGCGATGATTCCGATTCGAACTCCCGAGGTATTTGTCTGAGGGAAAAACCTATTGAAAATTTTACACGGATGTGTTTTTTTTCCTTTTTTTCAGGCGCAATCCTGTAGCAGCGTCGAGAAAGTTGATACATGATTTTTTTCCTTTGTTTCTGCGCTTCTTGACTTGCATAAATCGTTTTTTTCTTTGATTTATTGTCTTGCAAAAAAATTTCTGTGTATTTGCCACCCTCTCTCGGCCCACAAATTTAGCGATTGTTCTTTACAGGAACGTGACCGCTGCCCTGAAGAGATCATGAGAACAACTTATTGTGACGTTAATCGCTAGAGGTAGATTCAGCCTTCACATTACGTTTCCTGGTTATTGTTTATATGTGGTTTCCTTATCGCTCTGACGAAGGGCTAACGCTCGAAACACCAGCTTTTAAACTCTATACGGTGGGCAATTTACGTTATCAACTTAGTTGACAATACTAAATTACCCCATTATACTCCGGCTCACGATGCAGCATCACAGTTTCACCACCGTTTTGTCCTGTGGCTTACAATAACGGAGGCTATGGAAAATAAATTAAGAGTAAAAGTCTGTGAAAATAATTTCGAATGACCTTCCGATGACTCGTTCATCATTTTCAAATTCTAGAATTCCGACTTCTGTGAGTTGTGATATACTAAGAATGCGTGTGAAATGTCGTGGGAAATTTGAATTATGAACTTTCGAAATGGCCCAATGATAAATTTTAATGTAACCGAAATTCAAAACCGTGAGACAAATGTAAAGCAGCTAAGGGAATGCTGAAACAAATGAAACGATTATTTTAAAACCTTACCCAGTGTTCAGCAGGATGACTTCCTCAAGATATGACTACTTTTCCATCATTTTTGTGAAAATTTTCTTTCTCTGGCTTACCTGCAGCAGCGCCAATGGCGAGATAAACCACAAAGATGAGTGCGCAAAGATTCATGGCTGTCTTTTTACTGTCTTGAGTACCTCCTGATTTCAGTGAGACTCGATAATATCTGAAGAAGGTACGGTATACCACAATTTAACAACCAACAAAACGTTAAATTGACATTCGCTACAACTTCTCCTTACCTAAGCGCATTCTTTAACCTTATGCTTTGTTGAGAGAATTTTTACCTTCGTCATACCTATCTTAAAAGGATGTTTGTAGCACTTTTCTGCAACCATCTGACCGATAAAAATTCTACTTAATAGTGATATTCGTGCTTAAAACTTATAATAAAACTGTCCTCCTTACAGTTCAATTCCCTCCTTGTTCCCGTTTTGAGTCAATACCCTTTCAACCACTCTTAGAAGAGAATCTCTAAGTAACAACAGAAAAAAGTTTCAAAGAACAGAAAAATATACAAAGGGGAATTTTTTTTTTCTCAAAACGTTTCCATTGATTTATATTTGGCCGAACACTGCGTTGATCAGACGAGCAGGTCACATACAGGGAATTTTTTGGAGCGAAGTAAAGTTTATTGATCGTGACCCTTATTAGTACACGCGCAGAGTCAAAAAGGCAATTCATAGAAGACTTCACCCTAACAACATCAACAGGGATAGCGGAATATAAATTCCAGAAGCGTGGATGCCCACGATTAAAAAAACACAAGAACAGAAAAGCCGTGCGACAGCGGACCGGCGAGGGAGCAAATCACTGAGTGAAACAGCAAGGATCAAAATGCACCAATCAGAGCTGTCGAAAAACAGCTAATCACAGTAGAGCATCATGCTTTATAACATCACGCATGACCAGTCGACCTCATCGCCTGAAAAGACTAGCAGTACGCAGTCGAATCGTCGCAATCTACATCACAAGTAACTTCATCGTGAGACAAATGAAAAAAAAAATAGCTTTTATTGTTATTCACTACGATGAATAACCACAGCCTTTTTTACGAGGGATTGTTCTGATAGCGACTTTTCAAAAAAGGACTTTTTCTGCAAAAACCCCGTGAAAGTTTCCATAACTCGGGCATTCAACTTTCAACTTGCACGTAATTTTTTATCGCGCCATCAACATTTCTCCTTTCTAGCTATCTGCTTTGTAACTTCTATCTCAGTAGTTTACATACTAAAGAGCTAAGCCGTAATTTTCCAAACGCTAGCTCTTAGCTCTAAGAAGTGGAAATCTAGCATCTTATTTTGACTTGCTCAAAGTAACATTTCGGCCACCGAACTTTTAACAATTGGTTCATAAGTCAGCGTGCGTTCATCGAGTTATGAAGCACGCGGGAAGTTTGGAGAGCACGAAAGATGCGTAAGAGTTTTCTCGAGGGATTTGTTTGCTGAAGTCATGAGCGTGCACAATAGGAATATGAAGCACGCTCGCTCAATTGAATTTGATTAGACAGATTTACTGGCCATGTTATAATGAAGAAATGTAAACTGGTTTCCTTGTTTACATAGCTTGATGTAAACACGCGAGAGGTTGGGAGAACACGAGATAAGCGTAGGAAACCACGACGCGAAGCGGAGTGGTTTCCAGCTTATCGAGTGTTCTCCCAACCTCCCAAGTGTTTACATCAGGCTATGTAAACACGGAAACCATTTTACATTTCTTTTCTAAAATAACTAACAAAGGGGAACGAAAACCGTGTTTACATACGCTCATGTAAAATGGTTTTATGGCCAATCAGAGCGCGCGTACTATTTTAATTATTTTATAATTAATATTGCCTCATGTAACGTTATTACAAAAAAAAAAGACATCCCCTACCTAGTGAAGTTATCTTGTTCAGTTTTAGAAGTGGTCTGCCTCAAAATACGAAAGTCTTAATACTTAATACATCTTATATACACTTTAGATCAAGTAAAATGCTGTGCGCACACTCGCCTAATATTCAGCGCCTGATATATCACTTTTCCAAGCGTAAGTTAAAACATGACTCATTTGACATGAACAATGGAAAAAGTTGTCATAATGGCCAATTTTAAACTTCAAATAAACAGTAATAATCCCCTTTATCATCACTTTGTTTTTGACAGTCGATCATTGAAACAATACCAACAAACTAAGTTTACCTTTTCTCACATCTTTTGTTTAACAATTGCACGTCTCCCTTTCGTAATCGTAACTCTTCTTAACAAAGCAAACAGAATGTTTAAAATTCATTTCCAAAAAGTTACATAAAAGTCCCCCGCCCCCCAACAATGTTGAAATACAATTTTGATCATTATGCTAACCCCAGGAATGTTGTCACTCATTGTCATCCCAGAAATGATTGTCACATGACAATCTAATGACTAATTTCCTCGGGAAACTCCCTCATATATTACATCATCAACTTCCTGTTTTTGTGTCACCCAATGGAAAAATGCCGTCAGATCATATTGCTATTCTCCTATGGTATTCCAACGCTTTGTGATTAAAAAAGGACTCCTTAAAATGATGCCATTAAATGATTTTATCAGATAATTTTATCAAATGATTTCATCAAATGATCTCATCAAATAATTCCATATAGAATGTAGTGTAGAGGGTTGGCATTTTGTACAAGATCACTTTTTCAAAGTGCTTTGGTACCTCAAACTACTTTACTATATAAACACAAGTAAAGAGAAATTGAAGTAGATGTCAAGGCTATTCATGTGTTTATAAGTTGGCGTTTGTTATAACTTCTTCACTTATCGTCGAGTCTGGCTGAAGTCAAGTGGTATTCAAAACGGTGTGAGAAGACGAAAGCGATGAAATTTTGTGCGCTCATCTTTCTGGTTTATCTCGCAATTGGTGCTGTTGCTGGCAAGGAAAACAAACTTTGCCGCCGGATATTGGACAAGTTGTCAGATCTTGAGGACCTGATTAAGAAGAAACAGGCCTGCTGTCCGCCAGGTAAGATGTAGAAGATCTTTTTTGTCGTTTTAACGTTACTTTTACATCACCGCTTTTTTGGTCCGTCGGTTCTGAATTTCGGCTGGATTAAAAGTTATTGTTAACATAGTTTGGAATTTTGGTAATTACCCAGTTATGATCGATTGCCTGAAAGTTTTTCTCATCTCCTCAGAGCCAACACCCGCAAGTTCCTGCAAAGAAATTTATGAAAAAGACAGGTAAGGAACGTACGATCGTTAAATTTGTGACTGAACGAGGGTGGGTGGCAAACAAACATATCGTGAAAATCCTTCTGCAAAAAATTGCGCACTGTAGGAAAAAAAGCTAAAAGCGCAAAAAAAGAAAAAAATATAAAAATAATTTATGCCAGTTGAGAATTCCACATCTCTTCCCCTTTACATGTAAGGATCAGTGTGAGTGATTTAAGAGAGTGTAAACTCGGCTGGATTTGTAAGGTTTCTTCTCTAATATCGTGATGGTGCGGATCTGGGCTCCTGTTTGGCTACACATCAAGAGTACAGTTTAAACACCTAAATAGCCTTGTAACAAGCCTTCACCCGTTGGAAATTGTGACATGTCTCCGTCCTGTTAACCCTGATTTTGTTTATCTCAGTATTATTCTCGCTGACCGTAATAGCGCTGAGCCAAGACTTCCCCGCGTATTCTTTGCGATGTCACGCAGTGCTGCTTCTTTTTTGCGTTGCGTGACATTCCAAAGAACTACCACGTAGGATTCAAAGAATATAACACTCTGATGCTCTCTCATTAGTGCCAGCCCGAACAAGGCGTATAACCTCAAGCTTGGGAACAAATATCTGTCTGTGTATTGTTCCATGGATGGGGAACTCGGAGACTGCGGTGGTGGGGGATGGACGCTGGTCATGAAGATTGACGGTGCAAAGGTACAGTGGAACCCCTCTAAACTGGAAACCCTTGGGACCGTAGTTTTTCAAGAATGTCGAATGAAAACTTTGACTCGTTTCTTTCACTCCTGTTTGCTTCCCTTTGTCTCTTTTAAGTCAGTGAATGTTCTATAGATCATATTAAGGGGCCACGCTAAACCAGCATGCAATACGGACGTAGTGGACACTCTCAGTATTTTCTGGCGCGAGTTTGATGAAGCACTCATAGAGCGAAGTGAAGCAAAACTGGTGTAATCCCGGATTACTTTAGACACTAACTTAAAAATTGCCTCATCTTGCAGCACAACTTCAACTACGATTCAAAAGCGTGGTCTTCCAGGTCTTCAGTGTCTCCCGAAAATGGAGACACGGGGTTGGCTCACTTTGAGACCCTGTTACCAACGTACTGGAGCACGTCCTTTACCAAGATCTGTCTCGGCATGAAGGTCGATGGAGCAACCAGGTTCTTGCGAGTGAATAGGGCAGCAGCCTCACTGTATGCCCTCATTGCTGATGGTCAGTACCGTGCAACCTCCCTGGGTCGTGATGCATGGAAGGGACTGGTTGGTCCCAAAGCCTCCCTCCAGGGCAACTGTAATCGAGAAGAGTTCAATACGCAGGGAACTTTAAGTAATCGTGCTAAGATGCGAATTGGTATCATTGCTAACGAGCAAAATGATTGTAGTTCCCCTGATTCCAGAATCGGGTTTGGTGGATGGGGACCGGTAGCCGAAGTCCCGTGTGGAAACGTAGCCAGAGACGGCGGGGACAACGGAGACCAAACCATCAGAGCCTTTGGATACATCTTCGTTCAGTAAAGACACTGAACTGCTCTTCTCAAGGAAAAAGTTGCACGATATAAAGCATGCTCTTATCTCAGTAATGGGGATTTTAAATGTGGGTTTTTGCTTTTGCTATTAAATGAAGGGAAAATAAAAGTGGGTCAATGAATCAAAATGATGCCTCTAAATTTGTGTGTTGTAGTTACTCGAAGGAGAATCTATCTTGTAGGTGTATAACTTTTACTCCCTCTAAGAAGTTGCTTTCCTTAAATCCTATCAATACACTGTCTTTATGGGAGCCTTTTTTTTTCTCTTGACAACATAATTCGTTCAGCAAGGGCCAAATTCAAAAAGCTAAAATTACACAAAATAAATGGCAGAAAATGACAGACCTCTCGTTATTTATCGCCTGAAGGAGAGGGGCTGGGGTCCTCAGACCGAAAAATACAAAAACAATGAATATACTTACCATATCTTTGATTCATCCACTATGTCGTCGAATAGACGCCTAACTCGACCGACTTCCGTAATCGTCCTGCAGTCCCGTATCCTTTTTATGGGCACAATCAGTAAACAAGCGACAAAACAGTTAGGATCTGATTTGTTTTTCCTGCGCTTCTTTAAACTAGGAATAGTGTTTTCAAAGCCCTTCATGCTGGAGGGCCGGGGAGGAATAGATTAATTTATTTTCTATCTTCTTTGGTGGCATTTATGAAGAATTTCATTTAAAAAAATTATCACCTGTAATATATTAGAAATTACGACAAATACGCAAATTTGTAGAGTAATGATGGATTTATTGGATGAGATGTCTACTGAAAAGACAACGTTGTGAAAGGAAAAGGATGGACAGTTTTATTTTCATCAAATAACAACCAAAAGTAATGTATACTTTGTTACAGTTGAATGCAAGATTAAAGAGCAGAAAAAATAGCCGCCGAATACAAGCGACATGAGCTTAAGAGAAAAAAGGAAAAAAAATAGAGTCCAAAAAATTTTTGTCCAAAAAATTGCCTTCATCGAGATCACCCATTTTCAACGGCTTACCTCTAGAGTTTCGCATACGCGCCTGACTATCGTTTTTGACATCGGTCGCCTAGCAGGAATATTTTGTGCTCGTGAAAAAGATAAATTGAACTTGACATTCATTGAACACGCAGCTTTGTGAAAGGAAAATGTTAAACATTTTTACTTTTATCAACTAACAACCAAAAGTAACGGAACATCGAATGCTCGAAATACAGGGTAACAGTGCGTACAAGAATATTCATATTTAGAAACAAATTACAAGAAACTGAAAACTTATTGACGAAATTGATATCTAGCTCACGTCCAAGTTCAAGCTCCGTCATAAACATTAATTATCACGTTTTAAACATTCATGATCCGTGTGGAACGAACGGATCTTTTCCTTTCACAACGTTGCGTTACAAATTTGCGTATTTGTCGTAATTTCTAATAAATTATAGCTGACAATTTTTTTTAAATGAAATTCTTCATAAATGCCGCCAAAGAAGATAGAAAATAAATTAATCTATTCATCCCCGGCCCTCCAGCATGAAGGGCTTTGAAAACACCATTCCTAGTTTAAATTTTTTTGTTCAAATTCACTCAGTGCTTTTTTACACCTTCTTCTAAGAAAAAACATCCCCTCAAAAGCGACATGCATGATAACTTGCGTGAAGTGTCAATCAAAACTTAATTATGTTGGGGCCCAGTCTCCGACAAAATAAGGAACTAGTGTGGGGTCAAGGAGGGTGGCAAATACATACTGAGAAATTGTGTTACAAGGACATTTTGCAAAAGAAACGATTTTTGCTTCGAAAGAAGCGCAGAAAAACAAATCAGGTCCTAACTGTTTTGTCGCTTGTTTACTGATCGTACCCATCGAAAGGATACGGGACTGCAGGTCGATTACGGAAGTCGGTCGAGGTAGGCGCCTATTCGACGACATGGTGGATGAATCAAAGATATGGTAACTATATTCATTGTTTTTGCATCTTTTGATTTGAGGACCCCAGCCCCTCTCCTTCAGGCGATAAATAACGAGAGGTCTGTCATTTTCTGCCATTTATTTTGTGTAATTTTAGTTTTTAGAATTTAGCCCTTGCTGAACGAAATATGTTGTCAAGAGAAAAAAAGGCTCCCATAAAGACAGTGTATTGATATGATTTAAGTAAAGCAACTTCGTGGAGGGAGTAAAAATTATACACCACCACCTCCTTCGAGTAACTACCACACACAAATTAAGAAGCATCATTTTGATTCATTGACCCACTTTTATTTTCCCTTCATTTAATAGCAAAAGCAAAAACCCACATTTAAAATCCCCATTACTGAGATAAGAGCATGCTTTATGTCATATGCAGCTTTTTCCTTGAGCAGAGCAGTTCAGTGTCTTTACTGAACGAAGATGTATCCGAAGGCTCTGATGGTTTGGTCTCCGTTGTCCCCGCCGTGCCTGGCTACGTTTCCACACGGGACTTCGGCTACCGATCCCCCACCAAACCCGATTCTGGAATCAGGGGAATTACATTCATTTTGCTCGTTAGCGATGAGTACTTAAAGTTCCCCGCGTATTGAACCCTTCTCGATTACAGTTGCGCTGGAGGGAGGCTTTGGGACCAACCAGTCCCTTCCATGCATCTCGACCCAGGGAGGTTGCACGGTACTGACCATCAGCAATGAGGGCATACAGTGAGGTTGCTGCCTTATCCACTCGCAAGAACCTGGTTACTCCATCGACCTTCATGCCGAGACAGATCTTGGTAAAGGACGTGCGCCAGTACGTTGGTAACAAGGTCTCCAAGTTATCCAACCCCGTGTCTCCATTTTCGGGAGAGACTGAAGACATTGAAGACCACGCTTTTGAATCGTAACTAAAGGTGTGCTGCGAGAAAAAGGAAATTTTCAACTTAGTATCCAGTGCATTGGAGAAAAGGCAATTTTTAAGCTAGTGTCTATAGCAATCCGGGATTGCACCAGTATCGCTTCTCTTTGCTCTAGGATTGCTCCATCAAACTCGCGCCAATCTCTCACCAGGTCAGGTGCCTTAATAGAGGAATTTTCAACTGAATGTCGAAAGTAATCCGAGATTTCATTGGTTTTGCTTTACCTCGCATTGTGATTGGTCCAGAAATTAAAACTCGCGCCACTCAACCGATCAGATGTAAAACTAACACTATACACATCTTGGTCGCCTGCGTTTTCCCGCGCTTTAGGCAGTTTGGTTGTTTTTACTTTGAGTTTTCATTGGCTGTCCGGGATATTTTTTCTCTTTTGATTGGCCGTTGTGATTACTTTGGTTTTGGTTTTACGACACTGAAAACTAAACTAAATCGCTCATAATGGACGACGTTTCCGGTCTGCAGAACAGAACCAAAGACAAAATTGAAAAATTTGTAAGACGGCCAAACAGCTACGTTGAGCCACGATCAAGACAATATATATTCTCTTGCCACGATACAATCACTATTCACGGAAGAAATATCAGACTCAGAAATTATGTACTCGACAAAAGTGTACAAAAGCAAAAGATTTAACAGGGACTCGCTCCTTGACGTCGAAACGTATTACAAAGAGATAGAGACATTCGAATACTTAAATATTTATTCGTACCAGTGAAACGCCGGTGTCATTCATCAGGCGCAAAGAAAGGATTCGTAAAAGAAGTGCTTCGCCTCCTACGAATAAATTCGTCACACTCCACTTTTAATAAATACGAGAAGCGTTTCAAAGTACGCTTAAATATAAAAAGAATAATGAAAGGAAATTTTGGAGAAATGCATCTCTGAATTTTATCCAACCGGGAGAGAAAGGTTACTCAAAAACTTCCATGGAATTAAACTTGCGATGGATTATAAATGTTTCCCCGTTTGACGGTCTTTCAAGTGCCGAGAGGAGCCTTCTGTTTGATTATCCTGCGAAATGCTGTCTAGCAGGGCCTCAAAGGACTCGCTGTTTGTTTTCTTGCCTTATCCCAAGGCTTTTAGAATTGATCTAACAAACCATATAATATGGTGGCTTTCCATTGTGCAGGACGGCCTCTTTTCGATGGCTTCATTTTCGCAAATACGAAACAAACACGACAAATAGCAAGAGAAATCATGTTACTGCTTTTAATAATGTACATGAAAAAAAACATCACAGAAGTCAAGACAGACGAACTTTCAAAGCGTGCACGCGCTATTTGTAATTTGCACTCCTGTTACAGCTTTGCACTCGTGTTAGATGAGAATGCATTTGTTTTCAGCCAATTAGAAGCGCAAGTAGATTATTATACAGAAAATACTGAGAATGTTCACTACGCCTGCATTGCATCCTGGTTGAGCGAAGACCTTTAATGTGCTCCATAAAACATTCACTGATTTAAGAGAGACAATGGGAAACAAGCAGGAGTGAGAGAAACGAATCAAAGTTTTCATTCGTTACATTCGAAAAACAATGAATTGGTAGGGTTTTGGAACCTTGAACATGTTTGAAATACCTTTGCACCGTCAGTCTTCATGACCAGCGTCCATCCCCCACCACCGCAGTCTCCAAGCTCCCCGCTCATGGAACAGTACACAGACACATCTTTATCGCCTAGCTTGAGGTCATACGCCTTGTTTGGGCTGGCACTAATAAGAGAGTATCAGTGTGTTATGTTCTTTGAATCCTACGCGGTAGTTCTTTGGAATGTCACGCAACGCAAAAAAGAAGCAGCGCAGCGTGACATCGTAAAGAATACGTGCGGAGAAGTTTTTTCTTGGCTTGGCGCTATTGCGGTCAATGGGAATACTACTGAGATAAGCAAAATCAGGGTTAATAGGACGGAGACGTCTTAAAATTTCCAACGGGTGAGGGCTTGTTACATGTGCACCCACACAGGAGCTCAGAGCCGCGCTAGCAGGATATCAGAGAACAAAACCGACAAATCTAGTTGACTTTATATTCTCTTGAATCACTCACACAATTCCTGGTATCGATTAGGAAAAATATAAATCACTAGATAAAATCCGGAACTCTCTGAGACATAATAGTAAATAATTTATTCATCTTTCTTTTCTGAGAACAGTTAATAGTCAGCGCCAGGTTGGAAGGGGGAAAGAGAAGGTGGGCGGGGGGGGGGGGAATGTCGGAGAGTTAGGGCGGAACACAGGGTTTTTAAAGGGCAACCGAGGGAGGGGGGTGGTCAGTCTACGCTATCAGAGTATAAAAGGGAGGGTCATCAGATAACCACAGAGCCTGAGGGGCTACAACTTGCATAAATTATTCTGCGTTCAAATTTTGCATGCATGTTTTTTTTTTCTTTCTTTCTTTGTTTTTTGTTGTTTTTTTTTTCTAGGTTTTTATAACTTTTCTTTCTCTCGCGCATTTTCTTGTAGAAGGATTTTCACGATATGTTTGTTTGCTACCCACCCTCGCTCAGGCACAAATTTAACGATCGTTCGTTCCTTACCTGTCGTGGTCGTATATTTCTTTGCAGGAACTTCCGGACGGGACGGGCTCTACGGGTTTGAGATGAGAAAGCTATTAGGCAATCAATCATAACTGGATAAATGTAAATATTCCAAAC